AGCTGCTGGGAACAAGGGAGGGGATGGGAGGGGGAAAAAGGGAAAAGAGAAAAAAAAAGAAAGGAGGAAGGAGGGAGACCACAATTCATCCCCAGAAACCCCCTATCCTTCTCCCACTGACCCCTGCCCCACTACCCCTCCCCCAATTCAGTCTATCTTCTCTTTTTATTCACTGACTGACACTTTTCTTTTGCTGACCTTACACTTTCACTTTCATTTGACCCCTCTGACCACCCCGCAATTCCCACATTCTGAATTTCTAATTTTTCACAAAAGTCACTAAGTTCTTCTGGGAATCTTAGCCTTGCTAATTTCCCGTCTTTCCACCCGATCAGACATGCCGGGAATCCCCAATTATAATGAATTATTTTTTCCCTCATCTGGTCTAATAAGGGTTTCAGTAATCTTCTTCTAGCTAATGTCTCCGAGGCAATGTCTGCAAAGACTTGTAATTTTGTTTCTCCAAATTTTATTTCTGGGGTCTCCCGCAATTTTTTCCATATTCTCTGTCCTCATAATGATGGAATCAAACAATCAAGTGGGGTGTCTGATGTTACTCCTGGTAGGCATCTTAATCTATGTATTCTCATAGAATTGTAGACTGGACAAATAATTCACAGAGTAAGAGTTGGGTTAAAATAGAAGGCACTTTAAGTAACACACTATTAGAGAGGAGTATTTGGATACCATTAAAGTTTCGCATTATGGATGAAATTAGTACCACACTGACACAGGAGGTGTTAAGAGTATGGAATGGAACATATAAACAAATGGATTGGAAGTATAATTCACTGATGATCACCCTGGTGGGTACTGTTTTCTTTCCACCAGGGAAGGATAATATTTCGGGGAAATGGTTTAAGGATGTAGATGCACGGTTGGGGGATATAGTAATTAAGGGGAAATTGTGCACTTTTCAAGATTTAAAGAGTAAAAAAGAGATATTTGTGGCATTAGATGAATCGAGATACTATCAATTAAGACATTTTGTTTCGAAGTTGCCTCAACCCCTGAGGATGGCGGAGGACATGCTCCTGTTCGAAAAGATGTTGGGTTCTAGTATGGCTCCAAAACATGTCACTTATGGGATATATAAGACTCTTACTGAATTGAGGGTGGCGGGTCCTCCACTGTTCTTTTAGAAATGGGAAAGGGAACTGGGAACAAAAATGAATGAATCACAGAAAAATAAAATGCTTAAATGAACACGAGGTGATGAATATGAACATGGTCAAAATGAATTACAAATGTTTAGCGAGATGGTATTTGACACAGAATGTTGCACATAGACAACGAGTAGAAGTCTCACCGCTCTGTTGGAGGGGATGTGGAGTTAAGGGAAACTATGGCACATATATGGTGGGGCTGTCCAAAAATACAGGGATTTTGGCAAAATATAATCCAATTTATACAAGAGATACTGGGGACAACTATACAGAAGGATCCGTGGGTGTGTTTATTTTATAGGTCAGATGTACCAGTGAAGCAGTATACAAATAGTGTATTATACCATATACAGTTGTGACCAAAATTATTCAACCCCCACTGAAATTGAGTGTTTTGGCCAGTTTGACATTGCTTTTGATCATTCAGTCATCTTGCTTACATTTACATTAAAGAGGCACTTGTAGGTCAGACAAATATAACATAACAGTTATAATGAAATAACCACAAATGTCTTTTCTGTGCTCACAGCATTATCAGTTTTATTCAACCCCCAAGTGACATTCAATCTTAGTACTTAGTACAGCATCCTTTTACAGTTATAACAGCTTTTAAACGTGAAGCATAGCTTGACACAAGTGTCTTGCAGCGATCTACGGGTATCTTCGCCCATTCTTCATGGGCAAAGGCCTCCAGTTTTCAGTCACATTCTTAGGCTTGCGCACTGCAACTGCTTTCTTTAAGTCCCACCAGAGGTTCTCAATCGGATTTAAGTCTGGTGACTGCGATGGCCACTCCAAAATGTTCCAGCCTTTCCTCTGCAACCATGCTCTAGTGGACTTGGAGGTATGCTTGGGATCATTGTCCTGTTGAAAGGTCCAACGTCTCCCAAGCCTCAGGTGTGTGACGGACTGCATCACGTTTCCATCCAATATCTCCTGGTACTGAAGAGAATTCATGGTACCTTGCACACGCTGAAGCTTCCCTGTACCTGCAGAAGCAAAACAGCCCCAAAGCATGATTGACCCTCCACCATGCTTCACAGTAGGCAAGGTGTTCTTTTCATCATAGGCCTTGTTCTTCCTCCTCCAAACATAGCGTTGATCCATGGGCCCCAAACAGTTCTAATTTTGTTTCATCAGTCCACAGAACACTATCCCACAACTTTTGTGGTTTGTCCACATGGCTTTTGGCATACTGCAGTCGACTCTTCTTATTCTTTGGAGACAGCAAGGGGGTACGCCTGGGAGTTCTGCACGGAGGCCTTCATTACGCAGTGTGCGTCTTATTGTCTGGGCTGAAACTTCTGTACCCACATCTGACAAATCTTTTCTCAGTTCCTCAGCAGTCACACGGGGGACTTCTCTCCATCTACGCTTCAGGTAGCGCACAGCAGTCGAAGTCAGCATCTTCTTTCTGCCACGACCAGGTAGCGTTTCAACAGTGCCCTTTGCCTTGAATTTGCGAATGATAAGGTGTCTCTTGGTATGTTTAACATCTTTGCAATCTTCTTATAGCCAAGAGAAATCACCTCTTCTCTTGTCTTCCTGGACCATTCTCTTGCCTTCACCATGTTTGTAACCACATTACCAGTAAATGTCTAGAAGGAGCTAGTATCACAGTCATTTTAAAGCTGCCTAATTGGTGCTTATTATGCTTGATTGCTGCTCGGTGACATCCACAGGTGTTTTCAATACCTGATGGAAAGCACCTGTATGAACCTCTGTTCTTCAGAGTGGTAGTCTTTAAGGGGTTGAATAATTGTGGCAATGAAGAAACCACATAAGAACCATTTACTACTGTATTACATAAACAATTGATGTCATTTTAGTTGCAGTTACAACGTCCTTGTAGGATTTGATTCTGAATACAATTCCAAATGTACACTATAGTCCCTAAACCCCTTTACAGCATTGGGGGTTGAATAATTTTGGTCACAACTGTAATTAGCACGGCTAAAGGGCTTATTTCCAAATTCTGGCTGGTACAGGAGCCCCCAAAAATGAGGGACTGATTAGAGAGGGTTGATTATATAAACAAGATGGAGGAGTTATACCATATAGACGAAGGTAAAATGGATAAATATAGAAAGAAATGGGGAAGATGGTTTGACTTCAAGACCTCCGGAAAATATATGGAAGTAGCGGGAGGTCCAGTGATCTTATCCGTGGTAGGAGATTCAAAGGGAATGCCTTGTAAGACAATAGCAGAAATAGGAAAAGGAAAAAAAAGAAAGCTTGGAGGGAAAGAAAGAATAGTAAGAAAAAGAAGAGTAGGAGCAGAGGGTTGAGGAGAAAGGTTATAGACATGAACTGGACTGTTGGAAAGAGATGGAAGAGGTATGTGGACTGGGGTGGGTTGTGTGGTGGTTGGGATATGGGGGGGGGGGGGGGGGAGGGGAGGTTGGGACGGGAAATTTAGGTGAAATGTTTGTATTTTAGATGTAAATGGTATACCGTTTTATGTAATGAAAACAATAAAAGATATAATAAAAATAAATAAATAAATAACCATCCATGGCCATATGTTATATGTGGTTGCTATTACAGGGGAGACTTGGTGAGAGTAAAGGAACAGTATCAATATGCCGACATGCAGGAGGGCGATGAGGATTCTTTTGCACGTGAACCATTCATCATCAGATTTGAATCAAGAAAGACCGGTATGTGAATACAAAGTATTACTGTAATTCATGTAAATGTGTTACTATTACTGTTGTATATGTATATGTTATGAATTACTATTGTATACTGTAAACAGGGCCATGGGTAAGGTACCACCTGTCCTCCTTCACGGGGGGGCAGGTCAGCAGGGGGGCCCCGGCAGCTGGGTGAATGGGATGTGGGCAGGGTGGGTGATCGGCAAGGCTGGGGGGCAATTACTAGATCTGATCCCCTGTATGGCTCTCTCTGCAGCAGCTGAAAGCTGGCTTTCTTCTCTTCTCCCTCCCACTGGCTTTCAGCTGCTGCAGAGAGAACCATGCAGGGAATCAGTTATAGTAATTGCCCCCCGCCACACCCATCACCATCCCCTGTGCACCGAACGTTTTCCCCTTCTGCCCAGGCCCCCCTGTGTGCCCCCACCCATGCAGTGCTTCCAGATTCCCTCCTCCCCATCCCACCAGCAGCTGCAAGCACACAATAGGATCCTTTAGGATGGAGAGTGGGGGAAGTGTCCGGTAAATATGTCACATTTACCAGCCCCTTCCTTCCCTGAATGAACAAAGTTAATGATCGATACCTATCACTCACCGTGTTCATTCAAAACTGAAGCATAGTAAACTGTGTACTTTTTTTTTAGGGGCCCCTGTCAGATTGGCTGTATGGGGCCCTGTGGCTTCTAACGGCAGCCCTGTCTGTAATACTATTACTATATGTATTACCTATGACTGTAGGTTCATGTACATTATAAAGTATAAAGCCAACAAATTTACAGCATTTTATAGATTTATGTTAAAGCTGAAGAGCCAGCAACCCGTTCTCCCGATAAAAGTACTTAATTGATAAAGGGTTATTAATAAGGTTTTTCCCGAAATGCGTAAGCTGCTGTAACTTGCACACTGAACCCTTTATCAATAAAGTAGTTTTACTGGGAGAACGAGTCGCCCGCTCTTCACCTTATACTCTCATGCTGTTTAAAGTGCTAGGAAGATACTATGAGCTTTGGAGCTCCATTGGTCTACCTCTGGGGGGAAGTAGCCTCCCTGGCGGTATTCCAGAGTGTAGCTCGGGGTAAAGTTTCAGTACCACAAGCGGTAACCCCGAGCTACACTTGGGCTTACCATGCGGAGCTGCTCCGGGATCCCTCGATCACTTACCTTGTCCTGCGCTCCAGCGATGTCCCTCCTGCAGTTTCCCCTGTAATGTCCTCCGGCGGATGCCGGCATCTGTCTTCTGGGTTCCGTCCCCTGCGAGCGTCGGGACATACGGGGGACGGAACGGTGGGAACTTTGAAAATGACAAAAAGTGACATTCACTAAAATCACAGAGTAAAACATTACTGTATCAAACCATTTCACATACATTTTGTCCCGAGTGCTTTGTCCTGTGCCCTGCCTGCATTTTTACTGTTCTTTCTGCCTGGAAACTGAGAAACGTCCATGGCGTCCAAAAAGCGTCCCTTTAGGTCAAAAGTGGTTTTAGACCGGCTAGAGAACAGCGACAGTAAATCAGAACCACTTGCAGAATTGAGTGATAATGATTTGTGGGGAAATTCATCATCAGACACTGAAAACGATTCTGCGACTTTGCTCAGTGATGTGCGAACTTGGAGCTTTATTTCAAATATCAGTGTTTTTGGTTTAATTATATTATTGAATTAAATTTATTATTATATTATTTTTTTTTTATGATTATTTAAATTATAATTTATGATTTCGTGTTTCAAATTTTATCATACCCGGGATGTTTACTAGACTCTTGTTCGGACAGATTTCAGTGAGTTATTCCTAAAAATTACAGGCCTACAATAAAAAAAAATAGATATTTCCATGCAAAAAAATGTACCGCTTTGAGCACAGAAATATGGACATAATCAGACCACTAGGGAGGTTAATGTAGGTATTTTAGATGCTTTTTTAATGCTTAGCACAGGTTTTCTTTTATGGAGAGAAGAGTTGCAATATGCAGTAACCTATATCCACCAACTATCTTTTATTCCTTTCTCTAGTCTGAACTGTGGTCACTGCTTGTCCTGTAGTGATATGATATCCGCTTGTTTTCATTCCAGCTGCAAAGGATTTTGTCCTCATCCCCGTCCACACGACTCCCAAAGACTCCGTACAAGAGATAGATGAGTTGTATGATGTTTACCTTGATGTGAGAAAAAAATGGGGCACGCAGGTAAGGACACACTGCCGTCACAGCAGACCTAAACATAATACGGGCTCGTTCTTGTTTTCCTGCAGATCACCGCCAGGGCACATAGAAAACATTGCTCACCCCACAAAGCTGGTGTAATGTGCGTTGCTGTGCTATCTGAAAAATGCAACTTGTCCCCCCTCCCATTTTTTTTTTCTTTTTTTCTCTCCTCTCTCCCCCCCCCCCCCCCCCGTCTCCATCCCTACCCTCCACCTCTTTCCTCCCACCCCACACCACCTTCCCCCCTTTTATCTTTTCTTCTCTTTCTTATCCCTTCCACTCTAATTGTCTCTCTGTGCTTTTCTTCTGGACTCACGTCCATTCCAACACGTCACCTGTAAGGAAATATGTCTTATTAACTGGCATCCATTTTGTATAATGCCTCCATTTCTAGATATGTGAACAGTTAGTTTCGGTTTTGTAACTTCTCTCTCGTTTTCTTAGACTAGTTTCATTTCTGTAAACGGAAATACCTTATATGGTATCCCTCAACTATTTGCAGTTTCTGGTTTTCACGTAACTATATTGATAAGAATGGAATGTTTCATTGGTCATCCTGAGATTAAGCAACGCCTACTGAGTTCTGTAGAACAGTTCTTGTCATGCATTAAACTTTCAGAGATTTCGCTTGCACACTTCGGTGTCTGGAGCTTTATTTCTCCCAGGCCTGAGGGTGAAAATAACGAGGACAGGAGCTACAGACATAGGTTGAATCATTGCAATCTGGTGTCAGAAGTGGGATTCAAACCCACTCCTCCATCACCTATGGTGCCTCTCCTATCCCCCTGTTGAGCAAACTGCTGAGAAAACTGTTGGTACTATATAAATCCTGTATAATAATAATAATAATAATAATTGTTTCTTTATTTTGTGTCAAGGTCCTACCTTTTCCCTGAGGTTATGTTACTCCATGTGCTGGCGTCCAACTTGGATTCTGCTGTGCATGATGGGAATCCTTTTTATGCCTTCAGGTCTCTGAGGTCCACCCCCCAGAGGGGCGTGGCTGATGACATATAAGCCTGTGGCCCGCACATGCTCTTTGCACTTGTGTCTTGTGTCTTTGTGTCGCTGTTACTCTGTTCTGGCTCTTGTGACTCTCCTGGTATTCTGATTCGGCTTGTGACTTGACTATTCTTTGTATTCTCCTTTGATCTGACCCTCTGTTGCTGAACCCGGCTTGTGACCTGTGATTCTCTCTCGTCTGCTGTCCTGTACTGTTTTGTCCTGTTGTTGTTGACCCCGGCTTGTCTGACTACTCTTTTGTTTCTTCCACCAGCTACATGCCATTGGCGGCGGCCATTACCGCAGCTGAGGTGTCTCGGGGGCCGCGACCTGGTTCCTGGCTGCGTCAAGTCCATCCCCACCATCAGGGGCCCTGGTGAAGGGCAGCCTGGGACTTAGACTCCGCGCCCTGAGGGACTTCGGTCTGTGGGTGGTGGTTGTCGTCAGCCAGTGCGTTACATTGTTAGGCCTGCCTGTCCGTTCCTCGGCTCCTGCCCTGACATTTTGTTTTTGCTTTTTCATTCACAAGGTTTGGAAAGTCACAACTATTGATTGTGAAAATGACATTCTAAGTTTTTCTACACTCGCATGCCCAATACTATTGTATTTAGATGTGTATTAGCTTTTTTCAATTGAGATGCATCTTTCTGTGCTTATGTCTAGATGCCCTTTTCTTCCTCTTTGGAAAAGCAAATGGATTGCAATGGATGTATGTAGCTTTAAGTTAACTCCAGTTGAGTGGAAAGGTTATGTAATTTCTGGATTTCTATGTACATGACTGTATTTTGACTGTTACCAATTTCTGATGGTTTCATTAAGATGCTATGACTTTCTCAATGAAAGTTTTTATGGAAAAAAAAAATGCAGCATGTCTGCATTGTTCTGCATAGCACAGGACAGCACTGAAACGCAACGCAATGCACTGCCGTGCAGAGACTTGGGAGTGATTGTAAATGCTATTTTTTAATTAACAGGTTTATATTTACTTGCTCTATGCAGTGGAATCACACAGTGTACCCCCAAACGTCCTCTTCTGGGGTCCCCTGCCAACGCTTCTGGCGAGTGCCCCCATAGGGAGCCGGTTCTTATGGGGGCACTTATATGAGATCAGCCCCCTTGTCACGGGCTTGAATTGACAGCTGTGGAAGCCAACGCTTCCCGCTGCCTCGGCAAAGCCTGTGAGACCAGGAAGTGAGGGAAGAGAAGAGCTGCAGACAGGCACAGCATTGGATGAAATGAGGGCTCAGGTAAGTATAAGAGGGGAGGGGGGAATAGTATTGCCTAAACATTTTTACCCTAAAGCAAGGAATGCATTAACTGCTTCGGGTCTGGAAAGTTTTACCCTCTTTATAACCAGGCCATTATTTTGCTGTGCTACATTAACTGGTAATTGCATGGTCATGCAACGCTGTACCCAAATTAAATTTATATTGTTTTTTTCACACAAATAGAGCTTTCTTTTGGTAGTCCATTGTTTTTTAATGATATTAACAAAAAAAAAGACAATGATATTAACAAAGAATTAAAAAAAACATTTTTGACTTTCTGCTGTAAAACATATCCAATAAAGATTACAAAATCAAATTTCTTCATACATTTAGGCCAAAATGTATTCTGCTGCATGGCTTTGGTAAAACAAAATCCCAATAAGTGTATATTGATTGGTTTATGTAAAAGTTATAGCGTCTACAAACCATGGCATATATACTAGAATTTATATTTTTTTTATACTAGTAAGGGTAGTGAACAGCAACTTTTAGTGGGACTGGGATAGTGTGGCGGGCAATGTGACACTATCTGACACTGGGTGGGAAATGATTAAATTACATCACCAGTGACCCTAATATAGTGATCGGTGATAACACTATACACTGTCACTGTACTAATGACACTGGTTGGAAAGGGGTTAACATCTCGGAGTAATCAAGGGGTTAACTGTGTGCCTAACAAGTAAGTGTTAATGTGTGTATAATGTGCTTTTTTTAATGTGTGTATAATATGCTGTTTGTTCCTTCTCCCTGCTGTGCAGGGAGAAGAAACAAAGAGATTATTTCCTCTTTTGGGAGTAGTACAGAACCCTGAGTTGATTGTCAACACAGGGCTCTGGGCTGTGATTGGATACAGCCCATCACCAGATCCCAGCCATGAATCATTGGTCAGGACCTGCTGACAAAATCCCACTGTGTCTAATCGCAGCGGGAGTCGGCTGGGTAGAGAAGGGAGGGGGGGAGACAGGCACAAACTGTGCCTGTAGGAATTGTCAGTTTGCAGTACAATACCAGTCATAAAGTGGATAAGTAAAAAAAATATTTAGGCTTTATAACCACTTGAAGTATCACTATGTGACGCATCAAATAAAGTTTTTTTAAAAAAAGAAAAAAGTAAATGCAATCTGCTGAAACGTGCATTGCACCGCTCCCAGCCAGACCGCATGCCAGTAAGACGCTGTGTTACCATGTAGGCTAGTGTGCACCAAGGCCAATGATTACCATTGAAATAAAGGTGATCTCCAGGCAAAACAAAAACTAGTGTAAAAAATTATTGCTATATACCAGTGTTTTCTTGATACTTTTTTTTGGAAGAGAAATAATTGGATCGATATAAGAAAGCACTCGCCCTTCTAAACAAACTTTCAGGGCTCATTCACACTATTGCATCGCAGTGCAACGAGCGGCAACACGTTACATGCATGGACGTCACAGTGCACTTTGCTCATGGACACACGGCAACTCACTAACATGCGGATGGTGATGGTACATGCACCAATATTGATGTGTTAGGCCAGGGGTGTCAAAGTTGCGGCCCTCCAGATGTTGCGAAACTACAAGTCCCATCATGCCTCTGCCTTTCTGAGTCATTCCTGTAACTGTCAATCTTGCAATGTCTCATGGGACTTGTAGTTTGGCAACAGCTGAAGGGCCGCCAGTTTGACCCCGTATGTTAGGCAGTTCATTCAAATGAATGGATTGCCTTAATGCAATGCATGTTAACACACATGTGCCAATGCATTGTAATGGTGTGAATGGGCCCTCAACAGACTGGGCTGTTGAGGGCCATTATTATAATACAGGATTTATAACAGTTTGCTCAGCGCTTTACAATATAAAGGGAGACAATACAGGAACAATACAGTTCAATACAAGAGGGTTAGGAGCTCCTTGGAGCTTACAATCTAGGAGGGAGGGGCTAGTGGTACAAAAGGTAATAACTGTGGGGGATGGACTGGTTGGAGGAATAGAAGATTCCATTATTAGCTGAGGGCAGGATAAGCTTCCCTGAAGAGATAGGTTTTCAGCGATCGCCTAAAAGTGGGCAGAGTAGGCAATA